TGGGAAACTGTCCGTGACGGAGAAGAAGAAGGACGACATGGACGTGGATCAGGAAGGCTCCAAGAAGGGCTCCACCGGGACGAAGGAGCCCACGCCTCGGGGTACCGAGGCTGGGAAGGAAGGCCCGAGCAAGGCCTCCAACTACAGAGGGGCTACCGCTGAGGAGTACCGAAAGGCTGCTCGGGAATACGTGTACAGCGGGGAGGGAGATGATCGAAGAATCCTTCCCAAGAATACTCCAATCAACATGGAGAAGTCGTTGCCGGCTGAGGTCGCGCTCCTGATTCCTAGAGCTGTGGCCACGCAAGAGGAGGCTGAGGAAGCCGAGAGGACCGCGATGGAGGCCATCCGCGGGGACTATAGGCTTCCGGATGTGGGTCAGGACGACAGGGAGAAGGTCGACCCTTACACCGTGACGGACGAAGACTTGGCTGCGTCGGTAGACGCGTTGACTAGGAGGTTGAGCAATATGCCTGGGTGGTCGGGGAATTTGATCGACCCTGAGCTGGTCGCGGCGAGATGGGGCGGTAAGGCGAGTTATGACAAGCCTGAGGCTCCTCTGACTGAGGCTGGGATGAAGAGTGCGTCATTGGAGGATCGTGCCTACGCACTATCGCAGCTGAATCAGATGGTGAACTTCCACAAGAAGCACCTCTGCTCTGGGCGAGGAGCGCCTCTGGTGAGTGCAGCTGCCCCTAGTGGACCCTTTGCTCCTGACCAGCTGGATGATAGCAGGAAGTTCAGGCCTAGTGGGGCGGCGAGCAAGATGACCTACAATCTTGTGATACTGGATGGGAAGGAGGATTATCTTGCCGATAGGCGAGAGATCAATCCGGAGTTAAGGGAAACGGGAGTTATCCCTGATGAGGCCGTCACTTGCCAGATTGTGGTTCCCTCGAAGACGAGGTTGGGTGAATACCTCCCGAACTACGAGGGGACCGTGGGCACTGTTGCAGGACGGGAGGCGGCGAAGGAGTTGATGAGACTGCTCTCGTGCGATTTCGACGGCTTGGTCATCAATTCAAAGAGGGTCTCGGAGTTATTCGAGGAACGTGTGCTGAAGGAGACCGGACGCGAGGCTGGAAACTGGGTGAAAAGTGACCAGGCCATCTGGTTCCTGAAGGAGATTTCGGGTATGGAGAACGCTGAGATGTCTTGGAAGTTCTTCATTCCGACGCTTAAAGCTTTCCCGATAGGGCAAGTGGAGGCGATGCTCATGGTCATGTACGACGGGGATGGCGTTCTCCTCAAGGAGAGCACCAGGTTGGTTGCCGTTAGGCACACGCGGATCGGACGCGACTTGAGTTACAGTGCCGTTAGGCACAGGTATACTCAGGAAGATGCACCTGGCGGATCTCTGATGTATGAGATGCATTGGAATGAACTCCCCATGGTGGGATACGTCATCATGAAGTTCTCGGACTTTCGGAAGGCGGTTCAGCTCCAAAGGGTGAGGCGAAATGGAAAGGCCATGATCGAGATATTGATCACGAGGCCCGATGTGTACGAGACCATTGGGGATGGTAGGCAGGATGAGGGCCTGATCCCACTTGTGGGAGCCATGGCGCCGGATGCTGAGGTATCGCCTTCGTGGTATGTCAGGGACAGGCTGCGGAACTACTCCGGTAGGTACGTGGTGGTAATGGTGGATCTTCGGGTGCACTGGTCCTTGGTTGGACCCGTGTTTTTGACGAGAAGGAAGACTCTTGCCGTTAGGAACGAGATCCACATGGGGGCTTGGAAGGCGGCGTATATGTACGATGATTACACGATAGTGTACCATCGGGCATGGGACTACGGTGACTTCACCCCCGTTAGGGGAGAGCACAAGCGATCACGGGAAGAGATCAGGCTGAATGTGACTGCCACGTTCTGCTTGAGGTGCGCAGAATTGATGCCGAATGGGATGCACTTGTGTCCCGGGTGCGCGCTCCCGGTCTTTTACCCGAACTTTATCCCCAACGCGGAGGAAAAGGACTTCGAAACGTGCCACATCGTGCCGGAGTGGGTGAGGACCATGGGGCAGTTCAAGCCCAGGAGGATTCCCTCCGAAGTGGTCGGAGTCATCAAGAGGAATTTGATTTCCTATTCGATGGCATCCGATCTAAGGATGACGGTGCAGAGCGGCATCAGACTTCCCCCTTATCTTGGTGAAGACAAGGGAGGTGTCGATGCGGCGTGGGATGAGCTGGCGAAGGTGCTCTTCCAATTCTCCTATGTGTCCGGGATTTCGGCCTCGGATGCGTTTGTGGAGAAGTGGGTGGCGAAGCACCTGATCAAGACCAACCAAGTCGATAGATTTGAGTCGGTCACGGAGTATTTCCGAGCCAATCCAAGACACGCTGCGCAGTGGGGTAGGCGTATGACGACTTCCGTTAGGAAGTTCGCTCGTCATGACACGTACTTGTCATTCTATATTCCGATGGCATACGTGATTGGTTCTGCGGCTGGTCATCTGACCCCATTGTACCCGACCCATCGAAAGGACGTGGACATCCTGGAGAGTCATGCGTTGATGTCGCAGCTCAGGGGGTACATGGTATCGGAGACAGGGTATGATGAGAAGAAGAGGTTGAAGGAGGCGATAGCCAAGGTGCAGAAGGCGATCAGTGCCGGACAGTCGGAGCCTCCCGCACCATTCCGTGACCCATTCGTCTACGTTAGCGACGAAAGGGTGAGGACGGTTCTTGACGGTCGTCAACCCGAACCATTGAACGTGGACATCGAGGGACTCCAATCAGTGCATCATGCTGCGCCGGGTCCTGGTCCCAAGCAGGAACCGGTCCCCAAGGGCGGAAAAGGAAAAGGGAAGAAGGGGGAAAAGGGCGGTAAGGGCGGTAGTCCTTCCGGCCCGCCGCCAAAGTCAGGTGAAGTGCCGGGTAAAGGATCCGGTAAGGGCGGTAGCCCATCCGTCCCAAAGGCGAAGGATGACGCTGGACCTGCTCCGATGGAGGTTGATGCAGCAGCAGCTCAGCCGAAGAAGTCTTGGGCCGAGATGGTGGTTGAAGGGGCCAGGCCGAGTGCCAAGGCTAAAGTGACCCCAGTCCCTAAGGCAGAGCCGAAAGGGAAGGCTGCTTCGGCATCTGAGGCGAGGAGTGCTCCGGCTCCAAAAGCTGTGGCTAAGGAGACGAAGCAGGCCGAACCGAAGGTTGAGGTCAAGAAGGAGAAGACAGGCGGAGGTGACGCTCCCGGCGGTAGCCGCGGGTCGGCCGAAGGGCAGAAGAGAGAAAGGAAGTCCCGTTGGGATCCCGACGAGGCTGCGAAGGAGTCGACAAAGCGGGAGGCATCCACGAGGCCTGGCGACGTCGACAGCAGACCAGGTGCGGCAGCGAGAGAAGCTAGCGGGGATGATCTTCACTCCGCGCTTGGCAGATCTTCGGCAAAGGATGCGGTAGCGCCTTTGACTGCCTCCAAGGCGATGGCAAAGAAGCCTGAAGGCGGGGAGATCCGGCTGCAGTCTGCTGAGCGGGCCGCGGCGAGCCCGGTGGAGGGTCACTTCCTGGTGCTGCCTGAGAGTTCGGTGGTGGACGCTTTCTTGACGATCTCCACCAACAGAGTGCTGAACAAGCAGGTTAGGGATTTCATCAGAAATGGTGAGGACGCGTCGGCACTGGAAGCTCTCAACCAGATCGTGACGAACTCTCAATCTGGGAGGAGGCGTAGGGAGTCGGATGTTTCCCGTACTCCTTCTCGGAGGTCCGTTAGGACCGTGGACACCAGGGATTCCAGAGAGTCGAGGAGGCGCAGATATCGTCCGCGGCGCGAGGATGATCGCGACAGGAGGAGGGACGATGCTCGTGACCGTCGTGATGATGATTCACTCGATCGGGAGCGGGATCGAAGGCGAGATGATCGCAGGAGATCCGAAAGGGATCGTGATAGGGACCGTGCGCGGGGCGGACGTGACCGGAGGAGACGTGACGATAGCCGGTAGGCTGAGTCACGAGGATTGCGGCCGATAGGCTTGCGTCCGTTCTCCAACGGTCGGCGCGGTGCGGAGGTGGCGATGTTCCTCCCGGACCGCTGAGGCGCGGAGGTCATGTCTCTCCCGTACCGCTGCTGAGCTGCTGGACGTGCTCATCCGGAAGCAGTATGAGTGAGAGGGAAAGCAAACTGATGGGGGGTTACTCCCGGGTTTGCGGAATTCAGGCATTTTTCAGGTACGCATGGTCAGGAGTACCTCTTGCCGTTAGGCGAGGGTACTAATGGACATACGTTATCTTTTATTTCATGGCTTCTGATAAGAATTAAACTTCTTGCATTTCTGATGCAAACAGTTGTGACCTATTGTCGTCATGTGGACTTTTCCACAAGGTATGTTGGACAGCGTTACCCCGATTAATTCGGGGTGGTGGCGGGAATTTAATGCCCGGGATGTCGCGCGACTGCCTTTGTGGGTTTGCTCCACCGCTGACGGCGGTAGTGTCCAGCTGTTTGCGGACGTATGCGAGCAGTTAAATCCTATCAGTAAATGGCACGCTCCACCCGTCATATGACGGGCTCCTCGTGAGGGGGGTGTGATTAGCCATGGTTTATTTCATCACCAGGGATGTCGCGGTAGTGACTGACCTGTGGTGTTTGGCTCAAGTTTTGGGTTCCGTCGCGCCTCGAATGGGCGTCGCCGAACCCCTGCGTCGACCGACGGCATCTCGGGGGAGAAAGAGACCTCGGGCCGCCGCCAGGTTGGTAGGGACCAGTCGTGCGGCCTGTTGTCGACCAAGGTTGCGGGTTAACCCTTTTCTTGTTTGGTTTGTTTCCTTTTGGTTGTTGTTCTCTGGTGTGTGGGAAACCCTGATCTTTGGGACCGGGGATTGGTTTGCTTTTGGGGAACCTTTCTTTTGTGGCTTGTTTACCCCAACTTACCCATTGCCTGGGCACAGGCTCGTGCCCGAATCACAGTTAATATTGGTTAGGGAGAATAAAATCGAAGGAACAACGGATGGGGGGGGGGGGAGCGGCGAAAAAAAAACCGCCGCGCGGGGGATTTGCCCCTTTCGGAGGTGGTGCCGCCCAGCGCGGCCAGGGCGGTCACCACGGGCGCGGTGGTGTCCATGTCGTTGGGCCGCGGCCTGGGGGCGATGGTGGCCGCGGCGCTGGACGTGGAGTCCTTTGGCCCCGTGCTGCTGAGCATGTTCGTGGCCTTGTCCACGGTGGGGCTCCTGGCGCGAACGTGTCTGAGGACGGAGTTCAAGGCGAAGTAGTTAGAGAGCGAAGGGATCTGGTGCTGGGAAATGCGAGCGGCATGGATTTGTGCCGGATCCAATCTCGGTTTCTCGCATCGCCGTTTTGTGTGCCCCAAAGCGGGCGCGGCTTGGCAAACGGGCTCGGCTTATTCAGCCTCGAGTCAGCCAGGCCACTTGGCAACAGCCCCGTTGTTGGGCTTCCGACCTGCCTGCGCCAAGGTATGAGTGTTGCTTGGAGTGCTAGGGAGATCAAGAGCATTATGTTTGTGCTTCATCCAAGAGGCGAGCAGGTACATGTATAGGCCACATTATATGCTAATGCTTGCCGTGTCGTACAGAGAGACGGCAGCTGTGATAGGGATAGACAGGACGATGCGCACGTTGATTTGCTTCGAGCGCAGAATCGAACAAGTGCAACAAGCTCGCCTGAAGTTTCAGCGCATTAGGGCATGTTCCCCCCCAGCCCGGTATGAAGACCAACCTTATTGGAGAACTGGCTGCCGGTGTGTGGGTGAATGGGTGAGTTGGTTCCAAGACTCCTAACCAGAGATCCCAAAGAAGCATGTAGCAGATGTGCTGCATTTCGGTCTCGGGGCTCGGTTGGTCCTTGCTTGCTCTTACTTTTAAGGGGGTATGGTGCAAGTCTTGCTGACCGACCGAAACTTGCCAAGGTGAACTGAGAAATGGGACAGTTGGCGTCAAGTGTGGTGAGTGTGCGATTGGTGAGTTGACGAGTTTTGCTTTTGCCTAGATGCTTTGCTCCGAAAGCTGAATGTCGCTTTGGTGGATGTTTGATTCGAGAAGGGAGCCGCTTGACAACCATCTTGCAAGTGGATCTGCACTTCTTTCGCAACAGATGATCATGGCGTCCAAGATCCCTTTGCTTTCGGTGACGAGCGCGCAAGTCTGTATGGCAGGTGCTGCAGGCCAAGGTGATGATGTTCTCCAACCAGATAGCAGAGATTGTCGGAGGCCCAGCTCTAAATGGCCCCCCCTCTAGTTTGGGTGGTTTGCTTGGGTGTCCCTTCAAACATCCAAAAATACAACTAACACGGGCCCCATGAGCCTGGAGCTTCGCACGATGCCTGTCACAGTACTTCCTGGGAAACGGGGGGCGTGTTTCAAGCCAACTCCAATGTCACTTGAGAAATACATGCATATTAGTTTTACGAACCGTTGCGCACTTAGCCCCAAAGCCAGAATCCTTTCATGGCACACGTGGAGAGCCGGCTCTATTTCAAGCAATCTCGTTTTTCCGGTGCACCATGCCTTACTCAGCTTGGCAAGTGCCAGTCCCAACAGAGCAGAGGGCTGGAAGGTGTCCTCGCTGCCTATGGAGAACGGCGTCAACGGTCGGTAAAGATCAAAGCCCGATGTAAATGATGTCACCAAAGGTGGGGGCCCTGTTATCCAACCGCAAAGCTGTTTTTCGCGCTCCAGTGAAGCTTTTGGTTTTTGGCTCCAAAACCCAGGTTGTGGTTGAAAGAAACAGATTCCCGACTTGATGTCCTTCCCGCCGGTTTCCGATGGATCTGCTTTTGGCGGGTTTTTGCCGTTGTGGCCGATGCTGGAATTTTCACCGCCACGCTACCAAGGTTCATGGTGTTTGCAATGAGTTTCATGGAGCCCAGACCTCAGCGGCTGCGCATGAGAACTGGGTTGGACCGCTTGGGGAGAGTTCTCATCGGGAACGTGAAACCAAGCGTTTGAAGGGGCAGCTTGTTTTGACACTAGAGCCTTGTGGAGGTCCTACAATGGGTAGCCCGTTGTTGAAAGGGAAACCAAATGGGCTTGTCTCAAATCAAGGACACCCCCCCCCCCCCCCTCCCCGCCCGAAAAAGAATCCACCGGGTGGTTTGCCAACAATGCAGCCAAACATGACTCCCACATATTTTGTTCATCTGCGGCCATGTGGGGGCTTCGCCCCAACTGCGTGAAGTGGACAGGGCTGTGGAAGTTTCACTTCTGCGATACGACTGGAAGGCCTTCCCAATTCACTGGGGGGGCGGTGTGTGTGTGTGTGTGTGTGGGTTTCCAGGTATCACAGAGGTGGGAACCCCTTTTTCCCACAACCGCGACCTCGGTATTTCACTTTCTCAATGATTTCTCTTTCCCCACTTAGTAGCAACCAGTTCAATATTTTCGCAGAGGGTCAAAAACCTAAGCCGTGGTGAGTAAAGTGGAGCTAGTGACCGAGGCCCCCAACAAAAACACCGGCGAGACCTTCTTAGTGATCTGGAAGGCGGTGGAAGACACAGGACTGCGTTGGGGCTCGGGGCAATGTTTTGGACCAAAGAAACAGCCAGCGTCACTTCGGCATGGTATTCTTTGTCGATGGCGGACCGAACCACCTGTGTTTGGTGGTTTCCACACGTACCAGCCGTGTTTAAGCCCTAGTGTCTCCAAAGGGGCGCACAGGGAGATAAAATCTTATGACCCCACTCAGTGACAGTCCGACACCCCCTGTTTCCACGTTTCCATTTCCGCTTTGGGGATGCCTTTTGTGTCACCGTTGCAAGCCCCCCTAAAGGCAGAAATGGCACACACCGATTTCGGGGGTACTCGGAGCTTGAATAGAAGTGGCTACTCTAAGAGCTACCTAGGAGCCCTGGTCACAGAACAAAACTCCGGATCCGGGCTCCTTCTCATGGTGCAACATCCCTTGGCAGGTTGTACATGACCAGCAAGGCATTGATCATGGCACATGTTAGAGTGCTTCCAGTGGTCGGGTTCGCTCAGAGCCCCTTTTTGACACATTGCCATCCAGAGTTCCCTGTGGAAATCGCCAGGGTTTGCAGCTAAAAGAGCGAGCGAGCCTGGACATTCGTCTACTGGATATTCTCCCGGGGGGCGGCTTTGGCGTATGCTGTACCAAACTTGGGCAACTAGTCACAGGGTGTGGTAGGTATGATCCACCATCCACTCCTCCCCCAATAAAGGCGACACTTCGTTTGTGGGTATTGGCAGGGATGGGATCGCTCCGTCGACAGGATCAGATTGCTCAGACCTTTTGGCAAAGTTTGCGGAAGGCGGGGGGTTGGGATCTTCAGATCCCGTCGGCGCGTCGGATACGCACGGACGGCGAAGAGGTTCCCTTGGAAAGTTGGGCACCAAAAGAGATTTTGCAATAGCTGGCTTCATTTGGGTCTGTTGTTTTTTGGTGGTACCCCTTTTTGTGGTTGCTTCTGAAAGGAAGCCAAAGGACACAAACCATTTTGGGGGCCTACTATTTTAAGGCACCCCCATTTGGGGTGTGCAGCTGAGTCTATGAAGGCATCCAAGCCTCCAGCGTCTTCAGCGTGTGACGCCAGGCTCCATCGTTTCATCAGCTGCCGTGATTGGCGCTGTGCACCGATCGCCCCCGCTCCCAGCACCGATTTGACACGTGCGATTTCGATGTGAAGAGGCTGCCGATCCCTTCAGATTCCCCGCTTTTTTTGGGAGTTACCCAGTGCTCCCTGCGACAGCGCGGTCCTCTTTGTGTTGGTTGGTTTCACAGTAGAGGGTTTGGCCAGAAGGAACCGGAAAAGGACACCACCCCAGCATATTCTGTCTGTTTTTGCCCAAGGGACAACGTACGGACGGAGGCAAGGATCAGGACGGAGACAGTCTAGTTGACTGCTCATGGAGCATGGACACGGGTCGTGCGCAACAGGTTTGTAGAACCACACAATTGTTGCTTAACCATCGGGATTCGTTTTCTTGTTCTCCCTTTTTCCTTTTTTATTTTTTCTCCCCCTCTCTTTGTCTCTCGCTTGTTTGTTTGTTTGTTTGTTTGTTTGCTTGCTTGTTTGTTCGTTTGTTTTTGTTCTTTCTTTCCTTCTGTTTGTCTGCCTGCCTGTTGTTCTTTCTTTCTTTCTTTCTTGCTGGCTTGCTTTCTTTCTTTCTTTCTTTCTTTCTTGCTGGCTTGCTTTCTTTCTTTCTTTCTTTCTTTCTTTCAATCTTTCTTTCTTTCGTTGTTTCTTTCTTTCGTTCTTTCTTTCTTTCGTTCTTTCTTTCTTTCGTTCTTTCGTTCTTTCGTTCTTTCTTTCTTTCGTTCTTTCTTTCTTTCGTTCTTTCTTTCTTTCTTTCTTTCTTTCTTTCTTTCTTTCTTTCTTTCTCTCTTTCTCTCTGTTTTTCTCTCCCTCTCTCTCTCTCTCTTTCTCTCCCTCTCTCTCCTTCTCTCTTCTCTCTTTCTCTCCTTCTCCTTCTCTCTTTCTCTCTTTCTCTCTTTCTCGCTTTCTCTCTTTCTCTCTTTCTCTCTTCCTCTCTTCCTCTCTTTCTCGCTTTCTCTCTTTCTCTCTTTCTCTCTTCCTCTCTTCCTCTGTTTCTTCTTTCTCTTTTTCTCTCTTTCTCTCTTTCTCTCCTTCTCTTGCTTCTCTCTCTCTCTCTTTTTCTCTCTGTTCATTCGGTTCCTTGCCTTGCCCTCTACTTTTGGATGATGTTTGAAGGGAACCCGAAGGACACCCATGAGACCCGTCTGGGAACCTGTTTTCGTGTCAGGTCCGACGGACCTGACAGGGGTCTCAGGAGCGGTCCAAAGATGGGTAACGGGGGCAACCACAGTTTTGATCGCCCAGTTGCAATTTTCTCGCGGCCTAGGCCCCTGCTGGGTAGCTATAGAGAGCACCCGGGCCTGCAGTTCCGACTAGGCCGGGGCCTTTTTTTTTTTTTTCGCGGGGAGTTCCGGGTTCAAAACGGGCGGAACATCGAGCAGAGAAACGTGAGCCACAAGCAGAACCCGGGTAGATGAAGGTTAGCCAGGCTTCCCAGCCATAAATCGGCGCAGCCGCCTTTTTGATTCTGTGCATGGTTCTGGGTACACCATTTTGATACCAGGTTGTGGATTCTGTCTCACATTGGGACAGACATGCTTTGGGGCTTCTTTTTTGAGTGATGAGGAATTTCCCTCCAAATGAAACTGATGACGTAGTCATATGGATGGCCCGTGTTCGCAGAAAGGGTCATTCCTCCCAAACATGATGTCAACCAATCATGTCGATTGTGGCTGTAGTCGTTTTATGTGAGTCTAACCATGGAACGTGCGACCCTATATACTACTAAAGATCGTCCTCCACCCAGAGGCCTGGCCCTTTTGTGCGCTTACATCGAAAGTCGGTTTTGATTAGTGTCCACTCCAAGCACTGGGTCCAAAAAACAACAACCATTTGCGGGGTGGTGGTTCCCGCGTTTTGGGGGTGGTTGGGTGTTTCCCCAAAAACCGAGGAGACTTTATCCGACTGCACACATCCATCCATGATCGCAAGCAGGTGCGGACTGCCGGGTCCACCTCAGCATTGGCCTCCACAAGGGTTGGGCCATCGAGGGTGCGGTCCGGGCCCCCGAGCGAACCCGCGAACGGGCGAGGAGAGTTTCACGCGGCGGGGGCGTTTCAGGGGACCGCGTTTGAAACGGTCGGATCATGGGTTCCGACATCGGACGCAAGAAAAGTACCTGGTTTTTCCAAGGATCGGAACCCGTGAGCACTAGAACCCATTTTGGGATGCCCCGAGTGTTGTTCCTTTGCGAGTTCAAACAGAGAAAAGCTGGCCGGGTCCACACCCCTCAATGTGGTTCTTTTTGCCTCAGGGTGAAGTTTAGGGGAGATACTTTGACTGTTAAAATTCGGGAGGGCTATGGGGATTCACACAACTTCACACAAACACTACTCACCAACTTTCCCATATCCAGTAGGCCGCCGTCGCCGATCCACCGAGGTGGGCAGCGAATTCAAGATCGATTGCTCCTACCTGTCTCCGAATGTGAGCATCGCCACGACCATCGAGCGCTCCAGCGTACGCCCAGCATTTGGGAACAGCACTTGGGTACGGTTGGGCATGAGTTGCGACATGCTACGTGTCAAAATCGGAGTCACCCAAAAAGGCAGTCATCCAAGCTTTTCACACATGCCGTGGTCACACGTTGCTTGGGGTTGGGGTTCATCAAACCCTTTATTGACTTTGCCCATTGAGGTCAGTCAGCACCATGACTCGAAACGTGCCAGCTCTGGCTCCTGACAGGTCGGACTCGCTCATTTTCTTGGGAAACAAAGTACCGTTTTCCATGTTGACTATGGGATATGGGGACCATTTGTTTTGATTTGTCCGTCTTTGAAGGCATCCCTTTTGAAGTTTCAACCGAAACCACGAGGCGCATTTCATGTCGGGTTCTCCCGACCTTGGGCTCCCGAATTTCGGGGACCCCGGAATTGGGCAGTGACTTTTGGGGGTCCCGGCAACACTCGTGTGGGTGGTCAAAATCATGTAAAAATCCGGGTGACACGGGGACCTTTAAAACTCGGCGGCAAATGACACAGACACGGGGATCCCGAAAGAAGCACACCCCTTTTGAAGCCTGCGAGAGGCCACATGTCAATCGCAGCACTTCGCAATCAGGGTGTGATTCCCTACTTTTTCCAAACGATTTTCACAAACAGCTTGTAAAAGAAGGCTGTCGGGAAAGACTGGGGGCCCTAAAGCAAGGCCACAAGGCCCGTCTTGACCAGCAAAGAGTCGTATTCTTAGGGGGTCGAATGCACCCCTGGCGTTGCGCCAGGAAGTGTACGGCGTGTCGGTGATGGTTGCGCAATCGGCCTGGCGCTGAGTCAATGCTGGGCCTTGATGGCCGACGGGAGCAAGTTGTGGGTCCATGAAAGTCAAGGTGTTGTTTCCCTTCAAACCTCCATGGAAATATTAAGAGGGTAACTTTGAGGACTTTAACCACCCCCGTTTTTCGGGAAAACTGGACGCCCATGCAGGAGTATTGAACCCATGGCGGATTGAAGCTCCCATTTTGAATGGGAGGGTTTTGCCAGCAGGGCATCTGCTGAAATGAAAGCCGATGGGAACCCACAGTAAAACTGAGTTGAGCCTAACGGTGTTTCGGCACCCCCCAAAAAGAGGGTGGTCCAATTCTGCGCTGAGAACATATTATGTTTCCTGTCACGGCATCCGGCAGTGGAAGGATCCTGTGTGCCTGGCTTGTCAATCTCCCTTTGGTTTCCCTTGAATTGGTGCGGGCTTTTCTGGTGTATTGCTTCTCTGGTCAGAGTCATTCGGGAAACTGTCCAAGCTCGGGCTCCATAGGCGACATGGTGGGGTTGCCGATTTCGGGACTAACTTATTGCAAAGCATGATGGGATGTTTTACTAATTGATTCCTTCTGGAGGTGATGGGAAGCTAGGATGAACCGGTTGATTGATAGTGGGCGTGTCTCAGTTTGGGAGAAACACCTGCCTAATCTGTCAGGTTGATCAATCCATTCTAGGTCCCCCAGTAGTGCCCTTTTACCGTTTCTTTTTTGGGGGAGGCTTCCCCTAAAATAGACAGACAAAAAATCGGGTACCCTTACTCCAACCTCTCGACTGGAGGACCTAGCATTCACAAAATATGTCAATCTCTTCCCATGGGTCCTTTCCGGACTTTCGGAGTCGCTGAGGTGGTGGATTTGTGCTCCCCCTCCATGCGGCCAGGGACTTAGAATTCCTTTCTCGGAGGTTGTTGGGCGGGGACCCCCGACCTTTTTTTGGGTGAACGGGGCCCCAACCTGTTCATCAGGTGCCTATGGTCGACCTGGGTCCGGCCTTGTTTGGGTCCGATTCGAACCCGTTAGGGAGGGCAGGTGCAGCAAGCAGGCCATGATGTGACCAACGAGGACCCTAAACATGATGTTTTGGGGGCTTTGGAAAGCTGAATGTCTCTGAAGGCTGAGGTTCCTTGATGTCATCCGAAGCAGAACAGTCGATTCCTCTGCAAGAAGTCAAAGGCCTAAGGCTGCATGTATGATAGGAGGAGAATGGAAGACTCATTGATCATCCCCTAGAGAGGCTTAAACATGGCAAAGGTTCACATTCGGGTCCACAAAATAAACCTTTGAAGCAGACTTGGCAACCAGAAGAGAGTTGCGTGCTGGGGTCGCAGAGGGATCGGTCGCCCCTTTTGACGCCTCAACGGATGCGTCTTTTTGGATTCTACAAAATAGGGTATGCTCACTTCTGATTCGTCCAGAAGGCCTTAGTCGTCCGAGGAATCCGCCCAAGGAACCTTTTGTGAAATCCCTCCGGGAGTTGTGAATCCAAGCCGTGATCCTGTCCATCTGTTTTTTTCACGTCGGACTCCAATGTTCAGGGTGCCTCGATTGAGTTCGAGCTGAGGGCCCAGTGCCGCCTCATAGACAAGGTGGTCATCAGAGGACCGGGAAGAGCGGGGAAACGGGGAATCAGGCTTTGCCTTGTGACCCCTGGAAGTGAGGATGGTCATTTTTGTCTGAGGGGCCACAAAGATCGAGTTATGCATGTGGGTGTGCGTTTTTTTTAGGGGACCCCCGAAAAGGATAGCTTTCCTTTCGGCTTCCCCTTTGAAGACATCCCAAAGGCGGCTCCGCCAAAAAAAGACACCATACTCTTCTTGGTTTACCTTTTGCCACCCTGAATGAGCTGGGGTGGCATTGGACGTGGGAGGACCAATTGGTAGGGGTTGGCAGTGGCCCCAAATTTGCTCCGATTGAAACCCCCCCAATCAGAAACGATCTGGGCCCAAAAATCATACCTTTCTTGGAGAACTATATTTTGAGGGTTGGGCCCATGTTTTCCACACGTGCCACATGTATACAACCCACCGAAGGAGTGTGTGTGTGTGTGTGTGGGTGTGTGTGTGTGAGTGGGTTCCTAGTGAAGCTGCCCTCGGAGTGATCTACAATCGGAAGCTGGTCAAAGGGCGATTGATCCAAAATCGATCCAGCAGTTGGAACCCGGAGCATAAGTTCAAGTGAGGACAGTTGTGATTCTTTATCGCGGAGTTTGGATAGACCTCACTTGTCGAAGGGTTTCGCAACCTCTGCAATGGCCAAGCCGCTTGCCTGGGCTTCTAGCCAAAAAGGTCACGGAAGCTTTGATTCAGATCCAGGGCATCCAGGATGACATCCACCATGGTTCAGGAGGGAACCGCCACACCCAGACGCGTTGGTTGAGTTTTGAACCCCGCGGCACGGGTGCTTCGACGCTTCGTGAGGCTCGTCGGCCCCCATGGAGCTGTTCTGCGTAGATTTAAACTACATGAGCCGGGCCCTTAGCCGCCATACCCTTTGGGCGCCTGAACTCTTTGGACAACGGGCTTAGGTTCTTGCACGTTTTGGTTTCCTGTCGAAGTTTTTTGGTTGGGGCTCTGGCTCTGGAAGTTTCTTGAACCCAGGACCTGCGCAGAGTCGAGTGGCCCATGTTGCTTCAGCTCTGCATAAAAACTCGCCGACACTGAATAGATTTCTGGAAACCCAACACGGGTTTGGATCCGTCGACTTGCCCAAAGAGTTACGGACCCAGGTAAGCTTACTTGAAACACCATCGAGAGTGTTCGAGGCCTGCCACATCGTGATTTCAACAGCCCCAAGAATGATTTCAACAACCCGCACGTGGCTTCAACAACTGACGTTTCAATACTTCAACAACCCAAATGTAGCCCCGACAACCACCGAAGGGTTTCAACAACCACCAAACTTTACAATACACGCGTACCCACTCACGCACACTTTCAATGACCACCAAGGGTTTCAACCATGCCCAAGAGCGTTCTACCCGCGCTCAAGGGCTGTCCGAAGCGTCGATCGCAAGTCAGCCGTCAGATCTTCCGAGGTGTTGAGATAGACTTCACGGCCCGGCCCAAGGTGGATCGGCCGAGTGGGCAGCGGGTCGGACTTCGAAATGGGTCGCGACAAGCGACGGGAAACGGCACCGGCACCGGATTCATTTTGGTTTCTCTGACGCAACAAGGTTGCCGGGGTGTGCCAAAAAACATACAGGGAGCACACACACACAACACACAACGCACACGACAGACACAGCACACACACACAACACACGCACACAACGCACACAACAGACACCACACACACACACACAGTACACACACACACAGACACACACACACACACCCACACAGACACACAACACACAACAGACACAGCACACACACACACAATACACACACACACACAACACACACAATAGACACAACACACACACAGCACGCACGCACACGCACACGCACACGCACACGCACACGCGCACGCACACGCACACGCACACGCACACGCACACGCACACGCACACGCACACGCACACGCACACGCACACGCACACGCACACGCACACGCACACGCACACGCACACGCACACGCACACGCACACGCACACGCACACGCACACGCACACGCACACGCACACGCACACGCACACGCACACGCACACGCACACGCACACGCACACGCACACGCACACGCACACGCACAC